TTTTTTTGAGAAAAGAATACATCGCAAGAAAGAATATATGTAACAAAAATTAAAATTTTTAAGGAAGAAATCAAACTATTATATAGACTGTTAATTTAACAAAAAATTTTAAAAATTTATATTTTGTTATAAAAATATAAAATATTATATAAAATTCTATTTCTTTATTCGCAGGTTCAGAGATTACAATATCAACTCGCGACAGACGATATAGCTTTAACTGGATTACGTTTCTTTTCTATCACAAGAAATTTTATGCTTGCGGTGAATTAATTATTTATATTTAAATATAATGTATTTTTGATATAAAATATTTAAATTAAAAAAATATAATTATTTGCAGGTCGCTGGAGCAATCATAACATATGAAGTAGTACTTTTACAATTTAATGGTAAATAAGAAAAAAATACTTAAAATTCATTATACCTACTATTACTCTATTTGTAATTGTATTTTTGATAATATTATTGCTGTAATTTATGTAATTAATATTTTTTCCTCTTTTAAAAAACATGAAAAAATATATTTCAATGGATTAAAAAAATTCGATTAATAAATTTTTAATGATTTTTAAATTTTCATCGCATTTTAATTTTTATTAATTTTCGTATATTTTAATTTTTTAAAATTTGTTATCTAATTATAATTGTATTGTTGTGTATCGATATGTTGTACAAGATTATCATCCTTGTAAAATCGAGAATGAAAATATCTATATTTTTTATAGATAAACATAAGACATATTGTAATTTTGAAAAAAAAAATGGAAGTGTATTAATATGCTGTATCTTGTTTATAGTCAAATATGTATGTATAAACAAATGTATAAACAAGAAGAGTAAATAGTAAGAAAAGGATAGAGATAGCGTAAAAATATTGAAATCAACTACATATTCATTTTCAGTGTCGCATGAAAATCATAAAGAAAAGACAAAAAAAATAGTAAGAAAAGGATAGATATAATAAGAATTGACCACTAGCGATATCTCTTGAGTGTCATATTTCTTAAAAGTTAAAATAAAATAAAAATAAGAATTGAGAATGAACACCATCTCATGACTATTTTTAAAAATACGATTTTGGCACTTCGAAAGTTAAGCAGCAATCGAAAATTTTCGAGTTTAGCGCCATCTCGCTAAAATATCCAAATCTACAATTTATTATTAACATAGTAAGATATGTAAAAAGATATTCGAATTCATGTGACATCACAAAAAAAAGAAAATCAATATTGTAAGAGAAGGTTATATTATAAAAATTATTAATTATCCATTTTTTATTAAAAATTTCCACATTCTATCTTTTTCGCATAATATTGCTTTCTTTTATGACATCATAGCCGAATTAGAATACTTCTTTGCACATTCTGCTATGCTAATAATAAATCGAAGTTTCGGATATCCAAACGCGAGATGGCGCTGATAAAAAATTTCGATCTAGCTTATCGATAAAATATATTTCATTATCAATTAGAATAGAATTAAAAGAAATTCAAATAAATAAAGATAAGGAAATCAAACAATAATTTAGTTAATCTATTTGTTCGGCATTTACACACTCAAGAAACAGCTCTAATGTCTGATTAACTTTATTATCTTTTTTGTCTATTTTATTGATTAAGATTTTAATAAATGTTTTGATTATTTTGATAAAAGTTTTATATATTTGATATATATATATATATATTTTTATATTTCATGGGATAGATATTTTATTGTACATTTATAAATTTTTATATATAAATTTTTTAAATATCATAATGAATTTAAATAAAAATCTGATATATTTATTGTCATTATTTAAATCAAATAAAAATAATTACTATTATTTTATCTGATATTATAAAATTTTATTTTACAATTCCAATGAAATCTTCACATTTCGATTCTTTGAAATGATTGAATCATTAACAAGAAATTTAATCTAAGAAATGATTACGTAAAATATAATTATTTTAATCATTATTAATTTTTTGTTATCTTTATGGATTATTCGTCAAGATTGAAACCCAAGTTCGTTTAATATTACAATTAAAATTAAAATCCAGATTCATACAAATCATATATTTTTTTCATTGAAATGTTGTTCATTGAAATATGTGAATTTTATATGATGATAAAAAAAATTTACCAAATATATTTATTTTTAATTATTAAAGAACTTTTTATCATTTTAATTAATCTTTTAAAAAAAAAACAAAACTATAATCATTTTCAAAATTGTGACATTTCATTCAATTAAAATAAATAGAAATTTTATTAATTATAAAATATTATATAATTGTATAATTGTTAATAGAATTAATATTAGAAAAATATTAGAAATTAAATTATATTAAAAATTATTAAAGAAAATGAAATAGAATATTTAAGATAATAAAAATATGTCTGTGATCCATTAGTGAAAAATTACATAAAAGATTACATGAAATAAAAATTATAAGAAGAAAATAAATACAAAAAAAATAATATAGTGAATTCCCGTTAATTTAAAGAAAAATATTTGTTAAAAGAGACAAGTTAATTGAACTCTTCTTACGATTTACAGATAAGTAAAATGAATATTTCCTCTTGAAATTCCCAATCTGTAATCAATGTAACGTGACGCGCATTATCTTCATCTAACAACGTGTGCGAAATCAATCATGATTATATATGTATGCTTGTTCAAAATTATTTTCATCCAAGTATTTCCTCTCATTTAACGATGGAATAGTGAAGAGACTTGATCTTTCCAAGAGTTTCCATTATTTAATAAATATCAATATTTTCTTTTTTCCTCTTCTCTTCTCTAATTAAATATATTGAAATTTTATTTTTTATAAATAAAAAAATGAACGAATTAGCGAGATACTCGTTGAAAGAAGTTGCGACACAAGATGGAAAAGAAGAAACGAGAATATGGATCGTTATTTACGATATGGTTTACGACGTGACAGATTTCAAAGATAAGGTAGGATAAAAAAGTTAAATTAAAATTAATATCATTAAATTAAAGAGTAATAAAATAAGTTGTGTGTGTGTGTGCGTGCGTGCGTGCGTGCGTGCGTGCGTGC